CAAACAACCAGAAAGCTAGTTGCATGATATGCAACGAAAGTGTTGTTGTTTTGAAAGAGTACAATCTACGGCGTCATTATGAAACAAATCATCTGTCAACATATTCGAAGTTTTCTGGAAAGTTGCGTTCTGAGAAATTTGAGTTCATGAAACGTACTTTGGAATCTCAAAGGAATTTCTTCACGAGAATAGTGGCTGAAAATGAATCTTCACTCGTACAAGTTACAAAATAGTGCATAAGATGGCAGAGCGAGGAAAACCGTTTACTGATGGCAACTTCATCAAGAAGTGTATGATGGAAGTAGCAAATGACTTGTGTCCTGAGAAAGCCGATTTGTTTGGAAGTATCAGTTATTCAGCAAGTTCAGTTGTGCGGAGAGCAGAAGAACTTGGAGAGAACATAGTGTTACAGATACGCGAGAAAGCTAGGAACTTCTTGTGATATTCTCTGGCGCTGGATGAGTCTACTGATCTTTCGAGTACGTCACAACTTCTCGTGTCCATTCGTGGTGTTAATTTGGACTTTCAGATCACAGAAGAGTTGGCACCCGTTTGCAGCATGCACAGAACAACAACCGGAGAAGACATTTTCATGGAAGTGCAGAAAACTTTGCAAGGCTATAACCTTCAGTGGAATCAACTTCGATGTGTTACAGTTGATGGAGAAAAAACATGGCTGGAGTGAGGAAGGGTCTGGTGGGGCAGATACGAACTAAGTTGGAAGATCTTCAACTCCCAAGCACTCTGTTTATACACTGCATTATACATCAGCAAGCACTCTGTGGGAAAGACTTAGATATTTTTTGCATACTGAAATCAGTCGTTTCTGCGGCGAACTTCATTCGGGGTCATGCACTTAATCACCGCCAGTTCCAGGCTTTTCTTGAAGAAATTGATTCTGAATTCTGTGACTTGCCTTATCACACAGCAGTGAGGTGGTTCAGCTGCGGTAAAGTCATGTTTCGTTTTTATAAGCTCCGAAGAGAAATAGATATATTTCTCACCAAAAAGGATAGAGCTGATCCACTGCTGTCAGATCCTACCTGGCTGTCAAAGTTGTCATTTTTGGTTAACATCACATCCTACATGAATGAATTGAACTTGAAACTTCAGGGAAAGGATAACCTTATCTGTGATCTATACAGAATCATCAAAGGATTTCGGAGAAAGCTATCATTGTTTGAAGTACAACTGGAAGGAGGAACTTCTCTCATTTTCAGTGTTTCAAAGAGTTTCGGGCTGGAATCGCAGAAGATGTCAACCTCGAGTTTCCGAAGAAGATTATTTGTGACTTAAATAAGCATTTTTGGGAGAGATTTTCAGATCTCGACAGAATTGAAAGTGTCATTCTTCTGTTTCAGAATCCGTTTGATTGCAACCTTGATGACGTGCCAGTCGAACTACAGTTGGAGCTCATTGAT